TTGTGCTATTTTTTGTTATCTGAAAGTTTCTGATGTGTGCAGATACTCATTTGCAACTAGCAGAAGACTGACCCGACTATCTGGTGTCATTTGCTTTGTTATGCAGAGAAGGTAAAAACCATTTACAAGGAAACAATTCAAAGTATTTCTATGTTGCCCTTGGCAAGCAGGTGCAAGCAGGTATGTACTTATCCAAAAGATAGCTTATAGATGTAGTCTTTTTCTCCCAGCCATCTTGAGACGACATAAACTGACTCCCCTTTTCATAGGTTGCCAGGGTTTTGCACTTACAAAGACAAATCTGACTTGCAGATCCATAGTACAACAATGAAAACTTTATTACTTTTCTTTCTGTTGGACTCCTTGTTTTGTCTCTGATTGTGCTATTATGTCGGGTTTAGGATCTTCAACCTAGCAACATTTAACTCAGTATGTGTAGCTCTCCAGGCATTAGTTTAGGAAGCAATTTCTGTGATTACACAGTATGTTACTTCTAAATTTGTAATTAGTTCTTTGAGAAGGTATCCCAAGCTTTTCCTTCCAGGTTAGCTATGAAGGCTTCCAAAATTTTACTGAATGTTCTAGTTCTTCATTGGCTGTAAGGTAACTTAATGTCAGTCTTTTATATATTCCTTGTTGGAAAAATTCCACATTGTAAGAAGCTAAACAGTACTAATTCTTACAGCTTTTGTTCTTGGCTGAAAACAGAAAAGAAAGTGATTATAGCAGCAGATGTCACACAATATAAATGCTGTGTTTGGTCACTTTACGATGTTGTCTATCACAGACAGATAGCTAGACAGCCAGAGTAACTGCCCAAATGGACTCTGATGTTATTTGTTCAAGGAGAAAAAAAAGTAAAGAGTAGGTTGTAATGGTATGGTAGTGCATGAGTCACTTGCTTTCATTTTGGTGAGTGATTTTAAGGACACTGCAGTCCTTCGTGTCATTCTAGCCATGAATATTTGTCCTGTCATTTTTGATTTGTTCTGATAATCCCCTGAGACTTGTCATGAGCACAACGTATAAGTTTTGCTTGTAATTTCTGTGGTACACCTTTATAATTCTTTAAAATTCCAAATAACTTGATGTGACATTTTATTACCTATCTGTCCTGTGCATGAAGTTCATTCTGTAGGCTAAAACATGGTATTAGAAGAGCATCCATGCATTCAGGATTCGTGGATCACCTCCTAGACAGGAAGATATGTAATTTCTGTTAAATCATACACTTCAAGATAACAGCTTTAAATTCTTCTCCTGTAATTGCAGCAGTCATATTTATAATCCATGCAACAACTTCTATATAATCAACTAGATAAGCATCTGAAAAAGAGCAGATGAGATAAACTATCATCTGCTGTGTTTTTGATTTGGCTATATAAAAATGAAAGCAATCTTGCTAGCCATCTGCAGACGGTTCCTGCTCCTCTGAGTCTTTCTGCCATTAGCAGAACTGCCAGGGAGGTGTGATCTGGACGCACTTTGAGTGTGATGCCTCAGAGGCAAGTTCTCTTCCCTTCTGTAGTGGATGCACAAATAAATGTTTTCTTTCTATCACTTTTATGATACCTTGTAAATTGTTCCTGGTTCACATACAACGGACTTCTCGTAGAAGTTGTTTCCATGCATCTGTGTAAAAGCAATCTCATATTCATAGTGTGAAAAAGTGTTGGCCAGTGTGTCCCAGGGATGTGCTGCTTGGAAGGCAGTTCAATTTGAAGGTGACAGCTTGATAGGCTGTCCACACTGGGGTACCACCAGGCACCTGCTGGGATGGTAAAGCCAACCTCCAGTTAGCAACAGTTGGGTTTATTAGATCAGCTCCAATGCCACAGAAACGAACCTAAGCCTTTATCTGAACTCTTGGGGGCTATGAGATAAAAGAGATTGCCCTCCCCTCGTAGCAGTTGACCGTTTCTGGCCTGAGACAAAAGTAATGACAATTGTGGTGAACACTGAAGTGAGCAGTCTAACTACTGACTGTATACAGTCAAAGCTTTCACTGGCAGAAAATCAGCTCTGACAAAATTTGTCCCAGTTAAATTTTAGGTTTTACAATTTACTGTTCTTAGTAGTAGGAGTTCTCCAACCAACAATGGTTCTACAACCGTTGTGTCATTAGTAATAGACAATGTATATCTTGATTTTAGACCTGAAAAATATGGTTTTTTTGTGTTTTTTTTTTTTTTTTTCTTTTTCTTTTTCCCCAGAGAAAGGTGAGCCCTCCTATGTGTTCTGTGACCTCTTTCAGTCCCAATGGAGAGATGGTGTGCCCAAGAAAAGACTACTCTGTGCACCCAATTTAGTATTTAGCAAAATTCAACTTCAGCCCTCCTGTATTGACATGTTGAAGTACAGCCTGTAGGGTTTGTTTTTTTTTTCTTTTTTTTCATGAGCTTCAGGAGTCTTTCCAAATACAGCAACATTATCCAGATAATACTAGATTCCAAACTTGTTATTAAGAATTACGAACATATTTGAAAAGCTCTGGATGTTGATTCAATTCTGTACAGCATATGAATAAAAGAGAAAAGTGCATTAAGTAAATGCTGTGAAACTCATGCATTCTGAATGCTTGGTAGTATGCATTCTTTAAATCAAGAGTAGAAAACATACTCTGCAAATACTGTGTTAGTATCTGTAAATAGATAACTGTCAATCACAATGACTTTTTTTTTGGCTTCCTTGAGTCCACACAAGACTAAATACTCCAGTTTGCTTTTTGTTACCACTGTGCTGAAATTAATTCAGAAAATGCAGTGTCTTCATTAGTATCATTCCAAGCTATTTTTTTAATTATCTTGTGACTCAGCATCTCTCATTCAATTGTAGAGAATATAATTTCCATTGTAATAGTGGCACATTAGATTGAATTTTCATGCTGTGAATAAACCCTTCTGCACATCTGGTATTTCCATGTAATAGTTGATACTATTTCTTTTGTAACAGCTGAAACTGGAATTTGTATTGCGGCAATGTTTGATTGTACTGAAGCACTGTACCCAATATGTATTTGCGTATTTACTGCAGTTTACAGATTTCTGCTTGGCAAGAATATTACTGTACACAATAAAGAATTCAGCGATATGTATCAAAAGTCATTTTTCTATGCAGGGAACAAGAAGAACAATGTTGTTCTTCAGGTAGCTTCACTAGATATGTCAAGTGTCGAGCTTCTATAGCATTGCAGGGAAATTCATTCACTGAGCACTGAAACTCAGAAGCTGGTGTCCAACGTTATTGTAGCAGCCTGTGGACATTATTCTGCGAGAAGAAAAGGTAACTGGACACAAATGCATCCATAATAAATAACTGCTTCTATCCGCACACTTAACACAGTAACATCCAGCACTGTAACTTCACACAAATATTGCTTAGCTATAATTTCATGATGGATTTTAATATAACGTCTTTCTGCAGTATTTGCATAGCGTTGCATTTGTGTGTGCATCTCACACACACGCACATACATGGACACACTTCCCCGAGATCATGGCTCTGAGACGTGTGTTACACATGCTGAGCTTTTAGCCGTAGCTCCAGCAGTTGCAGTTTGAATGTAGTTCACCACTTCTCATTCTCAATTTTGCTATTGTCAATTCAGTTAGAGTAGCAATGGTTACAATCTATTGTAGTGTCAGGTCCAATTCATGCAGTAAATGCTGTCTATAATCAATAGGAAATGCTTTCTTCCATAAGCTAAATTTGACCCTTTTCTGCTGTGCTTCAAGACTTACATGTGATTTTCAACTCCCTTAAAGCAGCCGTGTACCATGCTGTTGATTCCCTTGGTTTCTAGGTACTCTGGCAGTGTTTATAGGATTCAGCTACATTTATTGCAGACATCGCAGCAGCATGAATTCATTTTATTTTTTATCATGAGGGAAAGCATGCAGAATGCACACCAGCTCTCTGCTCTGATACAGTAAACAGCATAAATGGCTTTCTTTCTCCAGCAAGGTCAGGGACACATAGTATATGATTTCCAATTATTTGTATTTGAACAACAGGAGGAACTTAAGAGCACCCAAACTTTGTAGGAATTAAGCAGATGAATTCAATTGCAGTACAAAAACTGGTCCAATTTCTTCATTAGCTGAATGTAAAGTATAAAGGATGCAATACTGTAAAGACCATTCCACATGTCTGCAGAAATACCAGATGAAAGTGTGATCCTGACTGCAACAGGAAATAGTACAAACCAACCAAACCACCACCACTAAACACCCACAAACACAAATTAAAAAAAAAAAATAGAGGATCCCTGGATTTCTCTTTACTTAAAGAGTGTCCTCCTCTGTTCAACACCAATGTGTCAGGACCAAAGCTCTCCAGCTCAACAGAGTAATGGAAATTCAGTTCATGTTAGGGATGTGACGCAACTTGAAAAGCAACCAGATTGTCATCTAATTGTGAACGGACAGAAATCTAATGCAAACATTTATTTTAGTCTGAAAACAGCCTCTTACGATGAGAAGGACTGATAAACTTCCTTATGCATTTTTAGTTTTAATGCAGTTTCAACGCTGAAAACAATCAGGGCGTTTCAAAGGCAGCTGTAAGGAAGTTGTTAATAACTAAAGATTTAGTCTTTAGAATGGGGGTGAGATGTGAATGATTCCTTTTTGTCATCATAAAGGAGTAGGAAGTTACTGAAGGGAAGGAAATATAAAAGGAAGAAGAAAAGTAGGACAGAGACATAAAAGGTAGAAAGCAAAGTCAATGAAACAAAGCGTAGACAATGAAGTTATCCTAATAGCGAGCATTTCCTTTCTAGCTGTTTCTAAGGTGACATGAAATATTCAGTAAATATCAAAGTTAAGGAATATGTAGCTGTTTCTACAACTGGATGATTTTAATAGCTGTTACACATTACCTAGCTCCGTTGAACCTGAAAATTCCCAGTTCCAACACCATTTTTCTCAAGAACATTTCTGAGGCAACATCAAATACCCTGGTCAATTGTGGAGTCAACACAGTGTGGAGTCAACCCAAAATTCAGAAGAAAGTGCTTTAATAGAGTTTGTTTTGTTAATGGTTTTGAGTGTGAAAATGAAATATGAAATCTGGAGAGGCGTCACAGTGAGGAATTACCTTCCATGTACCATTTCCAATATAAAGATGAGGGGGATGAGGGGGATGTGTCAACAGCTGGAACCCTGCACACCACCTGAGTGCTTTTTGAGGGAGCGCCATCAGGGAGCCACTTTGGCTTCCTCTAGGGCTGTCCCCTGTCCTTTTCTAAATAAAACAGCCTTAAAAAGACGTTTAGATGTAGAGCTTAGGGGTATGGTTTAGTGGGGACTGTTAGCGGTAGGTCAGAGGTTGGACTCGATGATCTTGAGGTCTCTTCCAACCTAGAAATTCTGTGATTCTGTGAACATCGTGCTAGTTGGGACTGATATTTTTAATTATTATTATTTTTTTTTATTTCTCCAGTGAGCCGTGCGAGTTTTAACGTTAGGGAAACCAAGAGGGCAGACGGCTGGGGAGGGACGCAGGAGGCACTGGACAAAGCCCCAGTCATTCCCAACTCGTTTCAGCCTGAAAATAAATAAATAAATAAATAAATAAAATTCGGTAGTATTCCAAAAATACTTCACTATTCGGGGGAGGGGAGGAGAGATCGGGGAGAAAGCCCCCCCCCCCGCCATATCCTGTGGCTGAGGAAGGGGCACCGACTGAATCCGCAGCCTCCCCCCCTTTGCCGGGCACCTCCGCCCCACGCCGCCCGGCGGAGGGCACGGACACGCACACCCGTCCCCCGGCCGCCCCATGGACCGAGCCCCGCGGCCGCCTTTGTCCGCAGGGGGACGCGGCGCCTCCGCCCCGCTCCCCACGGGCCCCCTCCAGCCGCGGGCAGGCAGGTAGGAGCCAACGGCAGGGGGAGGGAGGGGGCTGCCTGCGGGACAGGGGGTGCACCGCGGGCGGGCGCTAGGACCCGGGGGCGCCGCCGGGCACCCGCCCCGACCCCTGCTGTCCCCAGGGAGCCGCCCCGCCCGCCGCGGGGCACCACGGGAGTTGTAGTCCTCGGCCGCGGCTCTCGCGAGGCTTGGCGGCGGGCGCGCTGCTCGGGAGCGGGAGGGGAGGGGAGGGGAGGGGGGGGTGTGTGTGAAGGGGAGGGGGGGCGAGGGGGGGGGGGGATGTTTGGTGCGGGCGCCGTTGCCCGCCGTGACGTCACAGCGCATTGTTGTGAGCGTGGCGGGGCGCCCCGCGGGCTGTCAGCTGAGCGCCGCCGCGGGGAGCCCGCCGGGGCCGAGCGCACCCGAGCGCACCCGAGCGGAGCCGAACGGAGCCGAACCCGCCCGGCTCCCCCCCCCCCCCCCCAACCTCCCCTCCCTCCCCTCCCTCCTCTCCTCAACCTCCCCCCCCCTCCCTCCCTCCGTCCTCCGCCCCCGCCTCCTCCGCCCCCGCCCCTCCCGCCCCGGGGGCTCCGGCGCTCGGTGTCACCGTATCATTGTCCGTGCGGAACCCCTGCGGGCCCCCCCGGCACACGCACACACTCACACACACACCGCACACACACACACACACACACACACACACCCCTCCCCGGCCCGCCCTCCCCCCCCCTCCCCCTCCCCTCAGAACCACCTCAATGAGATGCAAACATGAAAGACAAGAGGAAGAAGAAGGACCGCACCTGGGCCGAGGCTGCCCGCCTGGTAGGTGCCGCGGCAGCGTTGTGTGAGTGTGAGTGTGTGAGTGAGTGTGTGTGAGTGTGAGCCTGCGTGTGCCCGTGTGCGCGTCCCGCCCCGCGCGCTGCCCGCCGCTTTGTTGCCGGCCGTTGGGGAGAGGGAGCGCGAGAGGGCGCGAGTGTGTAAGGGGGGGGGGGGGGGGGAGGAGTGTGTGGTGTGTGTGTGTGAGGGAGTGTGTGAGTGTGTAAGGGGGAGTGTGCCAAGGAGGGCCGGGGAGCGAGTCCGTGAGTGTGAGGGAGCGTGCAAGGGCGGGACGGGGAGCGCGCGTGTGTGAGGGAGTGTCTGTGAGCGTGAGGGCATGTGGGTGTGTAAGGGCATGGAGTTACGTGTGAGGGCACGTGTGGGTGTGTGAGGGCACATCTGGGTGTGTGAGGGCACGTCTGGGTGTGTGAGGGTGTGGGGTTACGTGTGAGGGCACATCTGAGTGTGTGAGGGCACGTGTGAGGGCGTGGGGTGACGTGCGAGGCCAGGCAGCCCCGCACGAAGCGTGAGGCTGAGGCGCTGTGGGGCCGTGGTGTCGAGGGGCTGCCGCCGCCCGCGATGCCCATGCAGCGGACACGCGTGAGGTGTGAGCAGCCCGCTGTCCTCCTCCCGTCCCCGGCCCGAGAGGAGGAGGAGGAAGAGCTGCGGCCCGTCTCCAGTGCGTGTGTGTGAGGAAATGCCTGCGCTTTTCTCCTCTTGCGCGCGCACGCGTGTGTGGGGGTAAATATCCAGGGATTGTTTCTGTCTCGGTGAGTTCATGCATCAGATATCCCAAGAAAATCCCTCCGTTAAAGTGCAGAGAAAAGTGAAATATCCGGGAATTGCCTTTTCGTCCCGTTAGCGCGGACAGGAGGACTGGGGTGAGGGGCAAGGACATTAGAGAGAACTCTTACTGGGATTTCTCTTCACCCTCTCTACTTTCCCGGCTGAGCAGGGAAATATTCAGGGCAATCAGACCCGCTTCTCTGAAGGCTCTGTGGCTCTGGAGACCTAGTCTATTCCCACTTCATTAGGAAGCAGTCTCCTTTTCCCTACTGTATCTGTTTTCATGATTCCGTATTATTGTTTGCTCAGTGTAATAGCCCACATTGTTTATGTTGTTTTTCGGTTTCAGAGTGTGTGTGAGTTCGCTTCGTTCTAGGAATTTTACAACAAATAGTCTATGCACAGTACAGCATGCGTGGTTGTGCACGTTTCTGTGTGTGTCTCCTGCAAACTTGCGTCTGGCTCAGCTTCAACTGGGTGCACGGAAAGATCAGAAAGCTAGGGATTTATGCTACTGGCTATATTGCCTTTTTGCTTTTTGTATCCACATGAACTTTATATGTTATCTGTCTCGGATACAGACTTAATTGCTTAAGTAAAGTGTCTGTGATAATGGTGCATCTGTTCCTGGTAATGTGTTTTGATATCTTATTACTGTTGTACTTCACAACTAGACATCTCTTGTAAAAATGTTTCTCACCTTGCTGTATGTGAATTCCTACGTAGAAGTTCAGCCTTGCTCTCTCATGTAAATAATTATGAGGTATTAGACAGGCACTACCTATAGATGTCTCTGTAAGCTGTACCTAGATATTCTCATACGCTTGGGCAGTGCTAGATTCTGATACGGTTCGTTGTACGTCCTACAGAATTTTCTAATAACTCAGCTTTAGTGAAGATGTTCTGATACAGCGTCCCCGCTGTCTTCTCCCATTTTTTGTAATTGTAACAAAAGTTTATCTGCAGTAAAACACTCATCTTTGACAAAATAACGGTGGCAGGGCGTGTTACTACAGTGCTTGTTTCTTAAAGCTTTAAACTATCAGAATGTGTTCAAAAGTCTATAAAATCCATCAACTGCTTTCCTAGCTTCCCTCTTCTAAGTGACTGCAGCAGATGCCACTGTAAGCTGTCTTTTGTTTGATGAATGTACATAAAAGAATTTTAATGTGTATTTATTAAAATTACTATTCCCATGTGGTCCAATATGTGGAAAGTTTAAGAGCCCCTGGAGAACAAAGGCTGAGCCAGTGCTGAGGAGAAAGGCGAAGTCTCTCATTTTCGTGATGTCATACCACCTAGTGCTCCCCCCAGAAGGGTCATGATTTGCAAAAATCCTGTAAAAATGATACATCGCTGTATATAAGTGGTGGAGATGCACAAGGTCCACAGTGTGGTTTTGTCTAGTCTCCCTGGGGTCCCTGTGTTACAGAGAACTTGTCCCAAGTCTGTTATGTGAATGACGCATAGTACGGTGCAGAGCAGCCAGTCTTGTACAGAGCTTTATTAACATAGTGGCATATGTTTGCAAATCACAGTGAAAGATCGAAGCTGAAATTGCCGGTCCTTACAGTGTTTTATGTTAGGACCCTGATGGTTCATTATGACTTCGTTTTCTTGGGATGCATCAATAATGTATTACTGCAAGGTTTGATTAAATCAATTTCTTTCCAACGACAAGTAAACAATGAAGTGATTGATACGCACTCATGAAAAACGACTCATGAGTTACCTAGATCAATATGCTGTAAAATTGTATAGTACTGAATTATTTTTAGAAACAAGAGGTTGAATTAATTCACACAGCAAACATATGGAAATTTTTGTGTTAAATTTTCCACGAAAGCCCTTATGTTACATCAGTATTGGGCTTTCAACGTGAACTGCTCAAAAGGTATAAAAGAAGATAGGTAATGTTGCTTTTTCACTCTGTTGTGCATGTGCATCTGTTACAATGTGGACTTTGAATGATGTACTTGTATGCTAGTTTTCCGAGTAGTTCTAGCCTGCTCACTAGACCTGCTTATTTTTTAATTTTCTTTGTTTGCTGTGAGGTGCTGTACTTTATTTTCTGTAGACCTCTCAAAGTCTGTGCTAAGATACATTTTTCTCCTATGTTTCAGTCACATATGTAGCTATTATTAGCAACACCCAGTAGCTTCCCAAACACAAATGTTTCTATACCTACAACATGCCTATGAAGTTAAGTATTTTGACCTCTGCTTTACCCATGCAGAGTTGAGGCACGGAAAGATTAAGTACCTTACTCAAAGCTGTACAGGAAATCTGTGGGAGAGGCAGTTATAGTACCAACAGTGTCTCGGTAGTAGTCCTGTTTCTTAGTCATAAAATCATCTTCCTTCTGTGGCTACACTTTTGCCTCATTCACTCTCTTACTATTTCTCTCACAGTAATTATGAAAGAAATGGATATGGTCATGTCTCTATTCAATCTATATTGAAACTCATAATGCACCATGTAATAGTTGTCATGGATAAAAAGGAGTACAAAAACTGGACTCAAGCCTGAAATCATTACACAGCTCTCCATTTCCCACGTTCACAATGAAAGAAAGAGAAGTGCTTTAGAAAAATATATTACATGACAGTCTTAAAATACGTTGTAATGTGTAAGCCTAAGTGGTGCGGCTCCACACTGACAGGCAGTGTTGCATTTCCATTTCTTGTATTTGATTAAAAAGGTCTTTGAAAACCCAAGTTCCTGCAATGCAGTGTTTTTTCAAGATACTCCCTCAATTTTTAGAACCGAAGCAGGAAAGGACTCCCATTATATTCAGCTCTTGCTGTACATACCATGTTTGTGACATAGGCGGTAAAACAGGAGCTGTTGGAATGTCCTGTACTGGGACTTGCGTTTCGTGGAAGAAGTCTCCTGCAGAGAGTTGAATCTTTCTGTGTGCGACACGCTGCTTTTTTTCCTCGCGCAAGTCTGCTTATCTCAGGGCAAGGCATAACCCAGCTTACAAGCATTCCTGAGAAATGAACGCATGTGCAGGATCAGTGGAATGGTGGCATACCTCTAACAGTTCATGTTACAGAACCCATTTTGTACAACACACATTTTTATGGACAAAATTGCAACCTGTCTTTGCAACCTGCCAAAGGGCAAACCTTTCTAGACCTGGTATGTCAGCTCTCAGGTACTTTTAGAAGACTACAGCAGTGTTTGTGCACAACCTGGACATTATCTCCATGCCAGTTTTTTGCTTTTTGTGTCAGATAGAGTAAGATACAACTCTTGACAAGAACAAAAGAAAATTTTGTTTCTCCTCTGTCTTCTTGTTGATCCCAACGTGATGAAGCTGTTGTTTTCTGGTCATATGTGGCTCTTGCAAAAACTGAACAGAAAGGCTAAGCACTTGAGAAGTTCAATTTATAACGATCCCATTCACTTGGAAATAAAAACTTGTATCTGGTGAGTTTCAGCTGTTCTTAAGCTCACTAGGACTCTCAAGTGGTTCTCAAAATCCTGAAATATTGAATTCTGCCTCAATTTCATGCCATAAGATACTGCGTAAGAAATATCAAAATGAAAATTACTGAGAAGAAAATATGTCCAAGCATACTGTGCCACATAGAAACTGCTAGCAGTCTTAAACAGGCAGCAGCGATTCAACTTGTATCATTGATTTTGACTGCCAGGTTTTTGTGATCTAGAGGGCAGAAAAAGCCTAAACAAAATGAGTTCGGGCTGCTCACCTCATGAATGCAGTGCTCAGCATATGCATGAAGCACAGAATGTCTGTGAAAGGTGATAGTAACATTTTATGATAACATTTTAAAAGTTTTTTTTTTTTTTTAATGGATAGCTCATCTTTATTATTGCCCTCTTGTCTTTCCTGTAAGTGGTGTTTCGAATCACACTTGAGTTAAGTTACTACCCCTAGTTGACAATAAAGCAGAAGAAAATGAGAAGAGTAGCAAGGATGAGAAAAGCAGCATTTGTTGTGTTACTCATGTGTTGGCTGCCCCACCTCCTCTCCAGTATTTTTGCTCTCTTTCAAAACTAAATTTAGAGAAGAGAAAGGTTTTCTTATGTTACTGATGGTTATGTGTGTTTTATGGTGCTATAGAGCACTCATGGTTCTGATGTGTGAATGTTGGGTGACTAATATTCATTCCTTAATTCTTGTATTTCTTGCGCTAGTCTCCTGACAGGATCCAGCTCTTAATTACAAGTTGTTCTGTTGCTCCTGTAAACTTTAAGAAAATTATGCTAATTAATTAAGGAAACAGATGTTGAAGGAAAAAAAAAAAAGAAAACATGAAAAAGCAACAAAAGCCCACCGGAATTGTTAGCTTGCATGT